TTTCTATTGCGCCACACGTCTATCGATCGATATATATCGTTATTGAATTATCGCCCAGCCCTAGGATGGATGGCTCCCATCTAGATTTAGATCTAGACTTTGACTATGCCGTTTCAAGAGACGAAAATGCTTTGACCTATGGTACGCCATCATGTCTGTGGCTCTATGTTTATGGTTTGTTGTCTGATGGAACGTGATACTCAGCTGGGTTCATCTCTCCATGAGCTTTAAGGAACTTCTTTGGACCCCTTATTGTTGGCCTTTTGTATGCAGATTCAGCAACCTGACTGGACCAGAAGGAGCACCCAGCCAATTAGAGGATGAAGAGAACCACCTGTTCCCTATAAAAGGCTCCTGAAGAAACTCCTATGGTGGGGCAGCTTGTGAAAGAGATTTTTTTGTTTGTTTTTTGTTTTTTTAAGTTGACCCCATTTTGGTTTCTGTGTTGACTTTTAAAGACTGTATGGGCAGCTTTGAAGCATCTTGTACTGCATTTTTAGTATGTTTGAGAGGTTCTGTTATCTCCATGATGTTTCTTTGACTTTGGATCAACTCGTCTTTGATTTGATTGTTTAATGGTGGATTTATGCCCCTCTAGTCTATTTTTAGCCAGTTGTTTAAAGTGTGTGTTTGGTAGGTGGAGCCGTTTTTCCCTTTGCAATAAACCCCTTTAAAGTTTATTTTTTTTCCTCTGGATACATTTAATATTACAATTTCTGATGTCCTAGAGCCTGGGGTCTGACAGTGCTGCAGTAAAGAAACCTGCAGCATGATGCTGCCACCACCATTTTTGCATTCAGGAAAATTATTGAGTGTTGGTCCCCTCTGCCTAAGGCTACATTCACACTGTATATCTTAATGCTCAATTCAGATTTCTTGTGAAACCCTATTCTTTTGAGATTTGTATGTAATTTCATGTGTGAATGGGTGGCAATGGAAAAAATCAGATCTGTGTTGTTCAGAATGTCATGAAAAGATCGGATACAGGTCGCATATGGACAAAAATATTGGATTCGGCAACATATTCTCGCTCCCAACTCGTCACATATTGACACTTCGTCAAAGTGGGTACCCCCTGCGTCAGTATTTGGTAAATGACAGGTCGAGGACAGTGTTTCACTTGACCCGTAAAAAAAAAAAAAAAAAAAAGTTGAAGTATAGCCTACAATGTTACTTTGGTAGCTTTAGAAGTGTATGGTAGCATTTATACTAGTGTTTCTTTAAGGGTTTAAGGGTTGAGTAAGGGATGGGTTAAGGCTGATTTATACTTTGAAACTGGGTCATCTGCGTAGGTGTCGCAGTGAACAAAAAGCAGTCCCTGCATCCTCCGCTGCACCTCTCCCAAATTGTAGCTGACCTCAAACAGTGCCGCAGATAGGACGCTGGCTTGTTTTGTTTTTATGACCGAAATTGCGGAAAGCAACTCGGGAAGTTTGACCAGCTAGAAGATAGAGGTGTGCGAGAACACTGGGACCCTTTTTCCACCTGGATCTCCGCTCTTTTTGGCCGTCATGTCCCTCCGCTGTCGGACTAAACTCGCCCCCGCCTTCTCATCGCCTCGGCCATATCTAAACCCACACCGTATAGCGCGGTCCACGCTTCAATATTGAGCATAAATAAAAAATGTCTGCGTCAAGCTCACTGTGACACACTGCTGCAGGAATATAACCATTCCTTTAGTGGGATGTTTTTACTTCACAGCTCTTGGAAACATTTTTGGAAGTTCCTGCGACAGCCCATCATGAACGCCACGCGTCAGTTAATCACGAGAGGGGTATCCCTGTCACGTCAGTATCTGACACGCACGGGACTTTACCAAGCGTCAATATGTGAGGAGTTGGGAGTGAGAATGAGTTGGATTTGGGTCACTTCAGGCTGCTGTGTGAACATAAACTAAGGCACCTCCTTCCACATGTTCATCTTTCCATTAAATGGCTTGCAGCAAAGACTACTTATAGCTTTTTTTCCAGAGCTTACCCTCTTCTAGCTCCTCTTCAAATGAAAAGGTAAAATTTGTTGAGTTCATGATTAGTCTTTATCCTTTTGGCAGAATTCCTCATTTAAAATAATGATCCTTGCAGCTCTTCCACAGCTGATTGGCTGCTTCTCAGATTATTAGTCAACTTCTCCAGGCTGTGGAAGCATTGAACTTCTGCAGTTCTTTATATCTTTTAGACTTTAATTTGTAAAGAAAGAAAAAAGGAAAAAACCTCCAGACAATGAATCCCTTCTGTTCCACTTAATTATGCACTTCTTTGCAGCGTTCCATCGCATAAAACCCCATAAAAGCCATGAAGGTTTCCTGGTTGTAAAGTGAAAAAAGTCTCTAGGGGTATGAATGATTTTGCAGGACACTGCAAGTGGAACTGGGATGCATTGAGAAATAAAAAAAAAACTGGAATGTGCTGATATTCGCAAAAAAAAAAAAAAAAATGGTAGGGGGACCAGGTAGTTGCTTCTACAGTACGGAGGCATGTGGGTGTGTGACCGGCTGCTGATGAAGCGCCTACGGCTATCAGTAATGAGTACAGACGTGATGGGCAATGGAGCCTGTAGCGGGGGTCAGATGCTGGGGGGCTACTTTGTTTGGAAAACGCCGGTGGAACTCCTGCTTACGGCACACATTTCTGTTCCACAGGGAAAGACTGAAGGCAACGTCTCCATTACATCCACCGTTTGCACGGGCAATTTAAATACGAGGTCAAACGGACAACGATACGTTTTATTTTAATTGCCAGTGCTTTGTGTGCATCTTACCGATGTAGACTCTTCTGCTGTAGCGTTGCATCAACAGGAGGACAAACACATGGAGCGGAATCAGGTTGATGATAAACACATAACCCCCCCATGCTGACACCTGGAAGAGACAGAATAAAAACATAAATGTCAAGAAAAAAACGTATGCATCACAGTTAATTAGTATCTTTAGTTTGTTGTTTTTTTTTTCTTTACAGTATAATCTAGGAATACGCTTTTTTCAAGTTTACATAAATAAAGTTGTTAACAGGTCCAGCTTGATCATGAGTGGGTATTAAGCAGTCTTAGAAACAAAGGTAGCTTACAGCCCACTGATTGCTTATTGTGCGCGAACCGAGGTTGTTGACATTCGGTGATCCGCCATTATTGCTTAACAATTAAAGATAATATATGAGTGAAAAGAAAATTTGCTCTCAAAATGTGGCTATAGAGATGATCATTTGAGGCAAGGTTTGAGAAAACAGTGAGTTTGTAGTAATCCAGTAATGGCAGGTTGTTTCTAATCAAAAAAAAGTGAAAAACAAAATAAAAAAAAACGTATCAAACTTCTGTCTCTTCAGACAAACCGGTGATCTTTTCCAGCTTGAACAGCCCTGACTTATGAATGGTGGATTAGTATTAAAGAAGACACTTTTTTCTTTACTTTAGGTAAATGGATAAAAAAAATATAGGAGAAAACTCAAGGATGAAAGGAGTCGTTTAAGAAGTAAACCGTTTTCTACAAAAAGTTGCTAAGAGTTCATTTAGGCTGTGAGGGAGACAGAAAGGCTTTAAACAAATAGCAGCATTGGCAAACATTCAGCCTTCCTGCAAAGTTTTCATCTTTTCAGCGTTCAATCTTTGTCTATTATGGGACATGAAAAATAAACATGAAATAAATGAAAGCGATTCCCTCTTGACAGTAGATCCTTCTGGCTCTGCACAGAGACAAAAAAATCTAAATTGTAGCTTTTAGTCTTAAAAATAGCCTATAAAGAAAACTAACCAAAAGACTGGAGCTTTCTAAACATTAAATAAATCTAACCACCTCACCCTGATTTGCCCTATTCAAGTTGATCGTTTTTTACTAATGATTTCAAAGAAAAAGACGACTTTCCTTGCTCCAACAGGTCAAAGTCCCAATGAATCAACAATCATTCAGCAAATATTTAAAACTGCCCAAGTTCACCTTGATCAGCTCAGTCGTCTGCAGCTTAAATAATGAAAAACCCAGAGCTTCACTTTTTATTAATTGCACTGAAATTGAAAACCATAATTTTTTTTTTTTTTTGCCTGTTAAAATCGGATAGTTTAGGAAGCAATTTTCACCTAAAAATACAGAATAAATCTTGAATATTTCCAAATTGATCAGGTCCACATGTACCACTATAATGTAGGAAATACAAGAATATTTTCCAATGTAAAAACTATCACAGCTGTTATTACATTATATTATTATCAATTATTCCTATTTAAACAAAGTAGAAAAAAAACAATTCAATTCCCTTAAGCTAAAAGTGTTGATGAAAAATCCCCACTTGTTTTAGCATTAAAACCCTTCTTCCAAGGTTTTTGTTGGGTAAAAAAAACAATAAAAACAGGCTTAAGTTATAAGAAATAGAAATTTAGCAACAAACTAACATTAACATGATCAGTTACATTTCTCAAAGGCAGAAGATTAAAGCCTTTCTTCCACAAAAAAGGCTAAAGAGTAGTCCGTCAGAGCTTAAGATGGGGCTTATTAAAATAAATATATACCGTATATATATATATATATATATAATTTCATTTAACAACAATATGGTGGTATAAGTCAAGACTACATCAGGGGAGAAGGACAGAGAGAGGGCGAGGAATCTTAACTAGAGGATTGAGGGAAAAAAGCTAAACGCTACTTATAAAGTGCTGCCTTCAGTGTCATAAAGGGTTTATTAAAAGATGTTTTTTTAAAAAGCATTTTGGGATTAAAGCGAATATGAGCTACTGTACTAATCGTTTTGCTCACTTATTGCAGTTTTCTTTCAGACTTCAGTTTGTTTTTCTTCTTTAAAAATATGACTTTTATATTATCTATTATATTACCAAAAAGGAAGGAGGTAATGACAAAAACTGAAAGAGGATAGAAGCCATGGACTGAAAAATATGAGGGCGAGATAACCACCTGGTTAAATGTGCATTGTATTTTTAGTTTTTTTTTTTTTATCAATAGTTTCAAAACATTTTAACAGGAAGAGTTTCAGGGATTTTGTAAAAAAAAATGTTAAGGAGTTTGTACAGGTTTGGTGTTTTTCCTTTTTTCATTTTCCTAAGGCCTTTATACGGTTTATATCAACATTGTCAAAATGAAGAAATATATTTTTATTATAGGTTTTGACCGAATCCTGCAACCCTGACCAAGAGAATTCTTCCAAAAACCAAAAACCAACTGCCACAGCAGAGTGTAAAACTGTGTCCTTATCTGCCAGACAACTATAAACTTAAAGAGAGACAGTTTTATCAATCTTATATATATCAATTTAGTATATAGGATTGATAGAGGATCAAAGCAGTCGAGGTCTATAAAGTATTACAGCATTTGAGATAAATGCCATTCAAAAAATAAAATAAATATCTTTTTTTTTTATTTCCGGTTAATAAATAATTCAAACATAAGATGTAAGCTGCTGGAAAGTCAAACTGGGAACAGCGATTGCATACATGCATATTGTTTGATGCTTATTTTCTACATCCACTGGTTACAGGCCTAATTGCAGCAGCAAAGGATGATAAAATAAACATGTTCACACTTTTATAATCACAGGAAAAACAGGCAAGTTTTATTACAGATGATTCCCGTGCAATATTAAGGCAGAAAATTAAAAACTAATCTAAATAAGCTTCTTGCTGGTGCAATTATCTTTTGGCAGTCACTTGAATCTGTTGTCTCAAATAGCGACAACCAATTAGAAGCCTGTGAACCAGAACTTGAACGAACAACAAAGATGACTTCAATTTAACACTCATTTCCAGTGTTGACACAGGAGCAGCTCATCAAGTCTATCTGGAAACTGACTAAAACACTGCAGACACAGCAAGGGGCGAGCAGCGACATCTTGCAGTGTTAATTTTTTAATGAACTGTGGAGTCAGGCAAACTAAATCTGCACAGCAAGATTAAGTGGAAGTCGGGGAGAGCACATTGGAAAGGAATCTAAATTCCCTCGGTGCATAATGCCAAAAATGACTCCAATTTAAAATCCTGTTTCTACAACAGTCTGGGAAGCTCCCAAAAACTCCTATCGACTGTAGAAGACCATTAAGTAAGAGCAAGGCATTTAAATAAGGCATAGGGAAAAGGTACTGCTGCAGAGAAAAAATATGGGAAAAATTTGCCCTTGGACTTCAATTAAAAAAAACTGTGGGAAAGGAACCCTTATATAGCTATTTTTTATATATCTCCTGCTCTAAGCGACAGTCGTAAGTAAAGTATTTGTCTCCTTGCAGATTTAGTTTTTGACCAACTCTCCCAAACAGCAAGTAAAAGGTAAATGCAAGTATAAAGAACAAAAAGAAAATCAGAATCACAACAATTATTTGTTTAAAATAAAATAATTAAACAACCATAAGTATACAACTAAAGTGTAACCAAGTATAAAAACAGGAATGAAAAAGGCAAAAACAGCAGGTAGACGCTCCTGATGGAAGGAGCTATAACAACACTGCTTTGTACATTTAGGACACAGCAGTCTCTCACTGGAGGAGCTCTCTAGCTCTGCAACATCCTGAAGCGCCTCCAATAGAAGACACTAAGTATTAATATATTAGATTTAAAAGAGCAAAGTGCAGGTTCCAGAGTTCTTGCAGAATTTCCCCCCACTGACGACAAGCTCATATGACACCGGTGTTGTGAAAGTACATGGGAGAAAAGAAAAAAGCATGGTAGTGTACCGCAGAGACGGCACATATCTTTTGTTGAGAGGCGTTATGTCACTTGATGTTAGGGCTGGGTAAAAAAAATAAATAGATTTTGTATCGATTCCTTTACATTTTTGCAAAATCGATGTTTAGGGAATGAGATCGATTAGTTTTATAGTGACGCACGTGACGTTCACATTCAAATGCCGACCCAAGTAACACACCGCTCAGCAAGCTGTCCCAACTGAAGTCTGATGTCTGGAACCATTTTGGATTTAAAATGGCTAAAGATAACGTGCTGGATATGTGACATTAAGGTGGCTTCCCACTACACTGATAATGAGTGGCGCCTCGCATCTCGTGCTACAGACCCCCACGATGACTTCAAGCCAGACAGCTGCAAATATAGCCAATAGGTTGACTGAAGACATTAACAAATGGGGGCTGACCAGCAAACACCCTGTAGTTGTTACAGACAACGCTGCAAATATGGTTACTACAGTGGAGATAATGCAGCTCATGCATGTTTGCTGTGTCACCGCTGTGTCATGTCTGCTGGCTCGAGTGCGGCTTCACTTTTT